CTCGCTCGCTGTCTTCGTTGCCAGCGGCCGGGCGTAGTACCATGTCCTCGGCCCCGCTGGCAATTGCACGTCCTTGCACTGCTCATCCTCCCTTGCCTCCTCCTGCGATCGCGCCCGGGCGACCGCGATGAGGAGGCGGGCGTTCATGGCGGCGCGCTGCGCGACCGTGCCGGCCGCGTCGGAAGCCGCAGCCTCCGGGTGTAGCGATGCTTCCAGGTCGGCGAGCTCTGAAGCGCTTGGATCCTGGAGCTCCGCGGCGGCGCGCGCGAAGGTCTCGTTCTCCTCCGCGGTTGCCGCGTCGCTGCGGGTGAACACAGCGAAAGCCGCCACCATGAAGTACACGGCGCGGCGCGGCTGATCCTCCTGCCAGCTGCTCGGCCACCGCCCTGGCGGGTGCGGGCCCGACAGATCCACGCTCAGCTGCCCGCCCGGGCGCGTCGTCTGGTCAAGCCTCAGGTGCGGGCGCATCCGGCCTGCGGCTCGTCGGCACTCGCCGCACTCCGCCATGAACCGTGGGTGGCCCTCGGCACGATGACGCTCCAGATCGTGCAGGCTGACCGCGGCGGCAATTGCCCGGGCCAGCGCAGCGCGAGCCCGACGCTCGCGCATGGCGGTCCTCAGCTGCCTCAGCACGTCGGCGCTGTCCTCGTCCAAGTAGATGGACCCGCCGTCCCTGATGAAGTCGATCGTCCTGCCATCCGGCAGCCGCACCTCGCAAATCGACGGGCTCCAATTCATCTGCAGGCCGAGCTCCTCGTTCACCGCCGCGAGCGGGAAGAGTGGCTGCAGCTCCGTGGGCGAGTAGACGTATAGCTTCTCATCCACGCCGAGCTGCGCCTCCCGGCCGCCAGTCGCAATCTGGAGCTCCACGCTCGTAGTTGCGACTGGTGGTGACGCTGGTTCACCCGCCACGTGGCCGTAGGACACCAACTCGTGGCTGGCTCCCGTGTCCGCCAGAAGCAGCGGGCGACCGAGTTGGTCGCGTTTCAGCGTCGATGCGCTTGCCGGCGCCGCTGCAGCAGCCGCTGCTCGCTCCAGCGCTGCGAAGTCGCCCGCCGGCAACGCCATCTTCGCCTGCGGTGGCGGGGGCCCCGCTGGCGAAGTCCAGAAGGCCTCGCCATCGGCGCCGCCTGCGAGCCTGGCGCTCGCGCCCGCGCCGCTGCCCTGGGCAGCAAGCGAGTTGAGCATCAACTGACCTCCCTCGGAACGGCCTCGAGCCTCGGCCTGCTGAAGAGCCGCCGCAAAAGCCTCGGCGGTCTTGGGCAGCGCGGGAGGCGGCCCAGATGGCTGTCCACCGCCGGCGGCAGGAGGTCCAGAAGCTCCGGCGGCGGCCGCGGCTGCATCTCCCGCCGTGCCTGCGTTGGCGACGCGGGCGGCGGGGTCAGCGCGCGGCCGCGGGCAGCTGTCGATCTTGTGATCGATGGCACCGCAGTTGAAGCACTTTCCCTCTGACTTCTCTGGCCTCCGGTGGAGGCTGGTGCACTGGGCGCCATTGCGGCAGCCGCCATCGGACTCGAAGAATCGGCAGGGCCTCTGCCCAGGCTCGCCGCTCTTGCCCTTCCCCTTAGCCTCCGGCTTCGCCTTGGCCTTCACCTTGGCCTTGGCCTTGGCTTTGGGGTCGGGCCTGGCGTTGGTTTGCTGCTGGTGCTGTGTCTGCTGACGGATCTGCTGTTCGAGGGCCGCCACTTTGGCTGCCACGTTCGGCGCCTTAGCAGCCGAATCCTCCCCGCTCAGCTCTCGCGCCTCGGCCGCCAGGTAGCGCCAGTACTCGTCGACTGCAGCCTGGCTGCACGAGCTGGCACCGGAAATGCCGCGCGACATCTCGTAGCTGAAGAGCCGGTGCTCGAAGCTGCGATCGTGCTCGCACATCTTCCCAACCAGCCTCCTGAGCGTGGAGAGCTGGATGGTGGGGTCGGGGGCCGTGGCGCCCAACCTCTGAAGCCGAGTCAACTCGAACTTCCACCTCTGGAGCACCGCGTAGCACTCGGCGACGGGGGGAGCGCCTGGCAGGCCACGGCGTTCGACGGCCTTGAGGGTCGCTTCACGGTCCCTCAGCGTCCCCGGCCCCGCCTCGACGGCGCAGCGAAGACGATCTCGCTGCGCGCCAGCTGGCGCTTCGCCAGTGCCTGGGACTGGATCGTCTCCGGCATGGCCTCCAACAGCAGCGGGCGGAACTTCATCTCCACCGCGCGCATGCCAGGCGCCTCCGCCCAGCTGCTCTGAGGACGGATCAATGGGCGACGGAGCGGGTCCAGGGAGATGTACTCCTCGTACGCCGCCTCCACGCTCGCCCGAAGCGACCCCCACCACAACTCGATAGTCGAGTGCAGACCCGTGATCTTCAGCGTGCTCTTCTGCATCCACTCCTCGTAGACGCTGGCCTTGGACGTACCCTTGCTCCAAACAAGCATCGGCACGTCCTCGCCCTTCACCCTGCTCAGAACCGACGCGAGGCCCGCGTCCGCTCCCGCAGCGCCGTCGCCGGGCGCTGAGCTCGCACCGGCGCCTCCGGCTGGCGGCGGCGGCGGCGGCGGCGGCGGCCCGCTCGCCCTGCCGCCGAGTGCGCCCATCTGCTGAGCGGCTGCTACGGCGGCGGCTGCTTGTGGCAAATGCCATGGCGACGGAGGCGGTGGCACCCCGCCGCTCCCTGATCCTCCAGCGCCAGCAGCGCCGCTGCCAGCCTATGGCCAGCCCGCGCCCAGTCCTGGAGGCGGCTGGTCGCCCGCGAAAGCGGCGCCAAACCTGGTGCTGGATGCGCCCGCAGCCGTGGCCGCGCCGCTCGCCAGCGGTGCCGCGCCGAACGTGCTCGGCATCGGCGGTTGCAGGCTGCTGGCACCCGCCGTGGCGATGCCAAACAATCCTTGCTGTATCAGGGTGGCTGCGGCCGCGGACCCAGTGGCCGCGCCGCCGCCCGCCATCGAATGCGGGCCGCCGCCATCGGCGCCCGCGAAATCCTGCATAGCGCCGGCATTCGGCGCCAAGGCTGCGGCGGCTACGGCGTCCGTGCCGGCGGCAGCTGGAGTCTCAGCAGCGGCCTGGAGCCCTGCTTCCTCCTCCTCGTCCTCCTCCTCGGCATCGTCGCTTGCAGGCCCCTGTGGCTGAGGCGTCGCCGGCGCGAGCAGCCCAGCGCCGCTGCCTCCGCCTGGCGTGGCGTACCCGCCGGCGCGCGACTCGAGCTCGGCCCTGAGCCGCACGATCTCCGCCTCGAGAGCCGCGACCCTGTCGCCATCGCCGGCGGCCTGGCTGATGCTGGGCGGGCTGGCGGCAAGCTGCGGCAGCGCCTGGGGCGTGTCCAAGCGAGCGGGCCCGCCGATCATGGACGCGCCGCTCAAGGTCTGGCGCGCTCCAGCCACGGCTCCGCTGATCAGCCGCGTGGCGCCAGTGGCGACGCCGATGGCAGTGGCGCCGACCACCTGGCCGGCGAGCTGGCTGCCGCTCGCGACTGCGCGGCCCATCTGCGAGGCCATGTGGCCCGTCCACGTCGCGCGCCGCTGGGCGAGGAACATGTCCCTAACGCCCAGGCAGGTGTAGCAGACGGGCGTCATGCTCACGACCTGCATGCAGTGCGCGTGGACCTCGGCGCCGCAGTGGCCGCAGGCGACCGAAGGTCCGACGAGAACGTCGAAGCAGGCACGGCACTGGCGGAAGTGCATCGCGACCTGCTGGTTCTGGAAGTCGGCTGTGGTAGGGTTTGGGCTCATAACCCGTTGAAGAGCTAACCGTCCGACATCTCCGTCTCCGATTCCACCACTGCTGGATTCTCCTCCGAACATGTGTCGTCCAGGATGTCCTGCCTCCTCGCCAGTCTCCTGAGGAGCCTGAGGGCCTCTGGAGGCCTGATGGGCAATGGCTGCCCCAGATGTGGTGGTACGGGGAGTCGGAATCGTAATCTCAATAATGTGTTCACTGAGATAGCGAGGCGAGTGAAGAGGCGCTTCTATTGTCGGTTCGGGTGCGGACCATGTTTGCGCTCAGTGCAAACGGTCCTTGAGCCAAAATTTACGGACAGCTCGTGTCCGCAAGCGGGGGTGGCGTTGCCACCACCTCCGCCTCAAGCAACCCCGAGGCACCAAAACTGTATGCCTGAGGTGGTCCAGGAGGTGGCGTTGCCACCACCTCCTGGGCAGCACCGAGCCCTTGGCACGATGCAGGTCGAAGCGTTCCCCTAAGCACTGGCGGAAAATCTATACAACTCTTGCTGGAATTGTGATTTTGGGTGTACCGGCCTATCCGCATAAAACCGGCTCTGTGGCAATCTAAACGGTCGCGGGCTGGGGGTCCTCCACCCTTGCGCGATACTGATTGTCACCATCGGGTTCCGGCAGAGCCCTGCCGGAACGCGCTGTGCGCGTTTGAATATGTAACCCCTTTGGGCCCAAAACGAATCAGGGGTGGACACGGCAAGCCCCCTCATCCACGGCCGGGGGAGGGGTGGGGGGGGCTTCCAGCGGGGGGGGATTTTCGGAGGGGGGGGGGGGGGCGACCCCTGGGTTCCAGAGGAAAAGGTTGACAATTTTCCACAGTAAAGCGGCGGTGGATCACGCTCTCTCGTTTCAGTGCGTCCCCGCCCCCCCTCCTGGGCCGCGCACTTGCCGCTGGTCATGATTTGCACCCCCCCCTCTTGGACGCCCCCCTCTTGGATGCTCCCGATGGGTGCCCGCCCCTTTCTGCTCCCTCCGCGGCCGCCGGGCATTCCCTGCGTCCTCTCTGCTGCGTTCGGACACCCTCGTCGCGTGTCCCGACCACTGCGAGCGCCCGTGCGGCCTCGCTTGTGCCGTGCGGCGACGACAAAAGGTATGCCACCGACTGGTGCTAGATGGTAATTTGTCGATCGAAGCGTGCTCCGTTCTAGCTCTCGTTGCGTTGGATGAATTGGTCGGGAAAGAAAACGTGTGTGTGGGTGTGGGTGTGGGTGTGTCATGCTTGTGGTGTCTTCTGAGCGCAGCAGTGTTGTGAGTGGATAGCAGGCGGAGCAGGCAGACGTTGCTTTGTTCGAGCGC